TTCCCCGGGGTGGAGAGGCCGGTTTTTTTTTTTAGCCGTAGTCTGCTGGGCTGCGCATGCACGAAGTGCGGCTCGTGGCTTTTCGCGCCGTTTGAGTGTGGGCGGTCCTGCTCCCGCCAGTTCCTCCTGACTGTCCTTGGCCGCGGATGGACTGACTGCTCTCTCGTGAATTCCTGTTTCACAAAGACAGAGAGAGCTTATGATTAGTCTTTATATATAGTTAAAAGTTATAGTTATAGTTCTTCTTACTTATAGTTAATAGTTCTAGTCGTTTAAAAAAACATTTCTTCAATAATTATACTGTTAATACTCAATGCCAGGGTTTAAGAAGTGTGGCGAATGCTGCGAGGCAATGCCTGCCTCCGACGGCCATTCCCTGTGTATCAGGTGCCTCTTGGAAGGCCACATACCCCAAAAATGTCCCCATTGCTCTAAGCTCACAGCCAGAGCAAGAAGAAGCAGGGACATGCGATTGAAGACCCTCTTATCTGACAAAGCCCTGCAGCCCCAAACCCAACCAAAGGGGCATACAGAACAAACCAAGAAGACAAAGAGGAGACCATCTCCAGCGCGATCCCTCCCACCTTCACGGACGAGCGTTCGTGACAAGCCAGGGACATCAGCGGCAACTACCGCACGCGCTGCTGTAGAGCCGAAGGACAGCCGGAATAAGTTGGCTCCGAGCCCCTCTATATCGGGCTCCACGGTCTCAGCCGTTCCCTTGGTCTCCAAACTGCCTCCAGTGACCTCCATGGCTTCGAGAACCTCTCCCGGTGTGAGACGCACCCCAGCACTGGGACGCTCCCCGGCACCGAGCCGCTCCCCGGCACCGACCTGCTCCTCGAAGTGGCCTGCGGCACCAAGCCACTCCTTGGCACAGGGGCGCTCTTCGGCACTAACTCATTCTCTGGCACGATAGCCAGCTCAGAGTTGCTCTTCGCCCCGGGCACATGCGGTGCCTCCAAGACAACCAGCACCGGGACCCTCGGCGCAGAGACGCTCAGTGACACCTGAGCATCTTTCCTCTCCTAGAAGGTCGCCGGCACCGAGTCAATCATCGGTGCCGAGGAGTCCTTCGCCCCCTTGGCAGTTGCGGGCACCGAGACACCAATCACCGGCGAGGCGTTCACCGGCACCGGAGCATCCCTCCCCACCGGCACGTTTGCCAGCACCGGGTCGCCCTTCGGCACTGGACCGATCGTCTTCTTTAGGAAGGCACCCACTGGCACTGGGATGGTCTCCTTCTTTAGGAAGGCACCCACTGGCACTGGGACAGCCTTTTCTCTTTGAGACGTTCTCCAGAACCGAGGCGATCCCCTCCTTCCAAACATCACTCTGGTCCATCACGATTGTCGCTGCCAACACGATCGACACACCCGTTGGTGACACAGAGAACTTCGGCGCCATTTTCTTCAATACCAGTGGAGATAATCCCTCACTTTGTACTGTCCACCCCAACATCCTCTCCACCAGAACAGTTGCTGGCATTACCTACCCACAGATCCAGGAAACTATCTTCTCTGTCACCAAGTCCGGAGTTCTCGCCTGAAGCACGGTCACCATCCCCAGTGTACTCTGGGTACTCCCATACCTGTTATGTTTCTCCACGATCAGGACATTTCTACCACCATGATCGTCGCTCATCCAGTTACAACACCTATTATAGAGAGAAATCACGGTTTCCAAGATCACCTGTGTTTTCGACCCATTCCGACTATTCCAAGAGGTCCCATCGTTCCACCTCGCCATACTATCACCATAGGGCGTCATCTCATCATCACTGGTCCCCTCAGACACACTCCCATTCCTCTCTCACCCGAGAGCATTCTGCTCCTCCCACATCTTCAAGACCACCAACTCCCTCCGGGTCTCCTTCTCACCTCTTCCCTGGGGATTCATCTACCAAAAACTCTTCTTCTTCACCTGATGAAGTGGTGATTCCAGAGGACACGTGGCCTGCTGACAACTTGAAACAGTTTCAAGAGCTTTTTAAGAGAGTGGCAGAGAGTCAAAATGTGCAGATGGGGGATGTGCAACAGAAACAACACCACCGCCTCCGTAATATTAAGCAGTCTCACCAGCCCAAGATCTTGTTGCCGTTAGATGCAGCTATTCTTGAAATAGCTGACGATATTTGGCAGCTGCCTGCATCCGTCCTGCCCACGACAA